CCCTTTAATCATCATCATCAGCTCACTATACGTCCCCACCGAGGGGCTCAGAGCCTAACAGATATGTGCAGGTTGCATCACGATGTTTTCTGTTAAAAATCTGTTAATCTGTCTGTTTAGGATGTGCTATTTTTCTGAAAGTTTATATATTTATATTCTCTGTGTAAAACTATATTTGATATTAAATAAAACCTCTTTTAAATTAAATCCTAATTCAATGTCAATCATTTCATCAAAATTAATCACGTGACTGTGAAATTATTTAGAATTAAACGGTGACATCGTCATTAACCGAAAAATCCTTGACCGCAATATAACCTCTAATTCGCGCCGTTATTGTAAAGGTTATGACATTCGTAACGTTATTTAACTAAAACTTTAACTAACATAAACAAAAATAGAAATTTTATAAATGTCCAATATTACGTCCCCCTGTACACACCTTACATCGCTCAAGTAAGCCACACTTAGCGCGAACTTTTTTATTCTCTCCACAATTACCTGGCGCGTGTGTGTATGTATTTACTTGTATGTACCAAGTTAACTGTTAATATACACCGTTTTAAGTATTTATATAAAAAATGTGCGCATCTGAATCTGTCGTTATGTTCAGACACGGTAATGACCATTTAACATACGTCATTTATCCTACAAAATAGCATTTTAATTGAGTATGTCCCAGAATTTATAAACTTTTATAATATAAAATATGAGGGCAATGTAGTACTCCTTTAGAAGAGAGCGGTTTGAGACTTGAAGTTACTTTTTTGAACATTTTTGATACTTTATCGTGGATATTTGGTTGGTAGAACTAAGTTTTTAAATTTGTTGAGCAAGTGGAATGAAAAGTGGTTTGGCGAAATGACAATTGTAATGTAAAGGATTATAAATACAAAAATGTTTTGACATGTATTTCGTTGGGCGGAATGGCGTGGCGCAACTGGTAGATGTAGAGTGTAAGGCGCGCGGGGTGGCGGGTGGGGACTGTAAGGGACGTCCGCGCTGCTGCCCCACCGGCGGTGCAGTAGTACCAAACAAAATTCTAATTTGAGATATAATTATATCCAAATGATTTTTAATGGAAGCAAGAATAAAGGTACTGGTTTAACTTTTAATGTTATGCCTGAAAATTTTGATAAAAATGTTATTTAAAAGGGGTTTAAAAATTTTAATAATCATATTAACAGTATTTTTTATCTGCTATATTGAATTTTTCTCAAAATATTAAAATGTCGCTTACATTTTACAGACACCGAAAGTATGGCTATAAAAGTGTTATAGTAATTCGGTACTAACGCCATCTATTGTATTAAACGTATAATAAACTAAAATGCAATGGCATCATCAACTAGACAATTACTTTTTTTAATCATAGATGGAGCTATTAAGGAAAAATCAGTAATTATAAAAATAATGAAATAAACATTTTTTCTACTGGAATAATCGGCGATCAAATATCCATATGAGCTAGTGATTGCCCATTATTCAAAATTCGAATAGAACTCATTTATGTTTGAACTTCATTTGGGTTTTTTGTCAAAAGCCAAACCTCTAAATATTATTTAACATGCCGTCAAGTGTCAATAGATGGCGCTTATAATATATATCTATAAAGAGTCGGAATTTTTTTTTATTTCAGTTTTCCTTCAACTTTTTAAAATGAAGGATTATTTTTCTTATCAAGCTTTAATTTTAAAAATAAATTATTTATTTATTGTTCCCTTTAAGCTCCAAATAAAAGTCATAAAACCTTTATATACAATCAAATTTATTATCATTTTTTTTTCAAAATAACAAAGAATTGTTAAGCTAGAGGTTCAGAACCTTAAAGTTACATCATAGTTGACTTGACCAATTTCCAGAATAAGTCAATCTCACAAACATACCTCGAATAACGCACATTGACTATGTCACCGTAAAATTGTAAAAATCATTTTACAATATCCTCAATTACATATTCACTTCTTGACAGAACGATTTACTATATAAAGAATTTCGATAGTTTATAATCTGTCGGTCGTAAGCCGTTAAAGTATAAACTGATAAAAATAACTGATATAAATTGTAAGTTTGGAGTTTACAATGTTCCATCAGTTTATAAATTTATTAGTGACATTATAAAATAACGATTTTTATAATTTTACGGTAACAACAACACTTTGAACCTTACACGACAAAAACAAAGACATATGCTTTTGAACATGTCAGGAACACTCGCATAAAGGTAACCATTTAAAATTTCAACATAATCACAATTGTTTTTGATATTTTCTTAATTAATTAAGAACACGATAACTTTCAATAAAACTAAATAAATTTATTATATTTTTTATAATATTTTAATTAAGTAGTTATTTAAAAAAACTTACTAAGGCAAATTATTATAGTTTAAAAACGTAATAATATATCAATTATTCTAATAGTCGATTCGGTGAATGGAGTGATGGCGAAGAGCTTTGACCAACATCTCAAGAAGCTCTCGCTAAACAGTTGGATTAAGGGCCCGATACTAAAGACACGCATCGTGAGAAGGTTCCTGTCTCTGCAGCCCTGACCACTGGTTGTTTGAGTTTGAGGATTCCGCAGCCGGTAGTGTTCTATTTTTAATATAAAATATTTTGCATAAATTTTTATATTAAAAACGATAAAAATGAATACGAAAAATAATATATTAATAATAATTTGAATTGAAATTTAAAATGTAACCTTTATTACTTTTCTCTAACTGTGAGTTCCTGAGACCAAAATCGCTATAAAAAACATATTTCTGTTTTGTCATAGACAATTATATGTTTTTTTTTGTTATAAAAAATATTAGCAGATTTTTTTTGTAAATTTACTAATATTTATTTCACCATTCCAACTAAGCTCTAGGCTTGTGTTAGGATATGGTTTACGACAATAGTCGAATCGGTTCGCACCTCCGACTTCGTGATCGGAAATCCGTACCCTTAACCGTCTATTGACGCTTTATTATATGTTTACAGGGATTTAGTTCTCAGAAACTTACATTAAATCCATCAATTTCACACAAGACTTTTTTTGGTCCATTACATGACATTCATACATACATTTCCATTGATTTGAATTACATTTATTATATTATCTAATAAAGAACACGTTTGTAAATTGGATATCATTAATTGAATTATAATTCTATATAACGTATTTATATATCTATCATATGAAGCTAAACGAAAGCTTTTAAAAGTAATCAGATTAAAAACATAAAGTATATACGTTTTAATAATTGTAAACTCTTAAACCGGACATTTTTTTTAAATAAATATTATAAGATAAATAATTATATTAAAAATAAAATATTAATTTTTAATTCTAGCGTAATTATTAATAATATAATAGTAATTACTTATTTTAAACATTTTCGTTTTACATCTATATATTTAAATAAATAGAATTAATTATAACATATGGTTTAACATTCGTAAATTCATAAAATAAATACAAACATACAAACAAACACAACTTAATATGACTACAGCCACAGAATCACAGGATTAAAATGTACAAGTTCACATATATAACAATTCAAAATAATAACTAGAAGATTTAATAACCATTTGACTAGATATAATCTTATTATAATAATTTGCATTTTAAGATTTAAAAAAAAATCAATAATTTATTTTCAAGACAATTAGGAATTAATGACATAATAATGGAAGATATTATTAACATTGAATTCGGTTTTAGAACTACAAAACTTATGTTTATATATTAAACTATGTCACCGAACAATTCTGAATTCCGTCACTCTATAATCGGACTAGACTAATTATTACCAGCAAATATTATGTTGAATGAATTACCATTTTGACATATCATTTATCGACTAGCTGCCGCCCGTGATATCGTCTGTGCGGAATTAAAAAAAAACTTTATTAGTAGCCCATGTGTTCTTCCAGACTATGTTCTACATCCAAGCCAAATTCAAGTAAACATCCATCTACCCATCCAAGCATTCGCATTAGTAAGATTCATAAGCCATTGAAGCGAAATTGTTACGATTTGCAATTTACAAAAAAAAAAAATATAATTTGTCTAGACCGATTATAAACTTACGAATTACACAATCTGTTGGTAACATAACGTTTCAAACACAAGTCATATTACTTATATCCTAGAATGTTAACATTTATTTTAATAATTCTCTAATTAACACGATAAATTCATCTATCTATGTATTTATCCCAACTTTTACATTATGTAGTAAATAGTGTTATTTATATACCATTCATAAGATTTTCATAACACAAATATCAAATTACATTTCAAAGATTTAAATACAGTATAATAAAACATATTTATGTATTTAAAATAAAAAAATGGAACATCAAATCTAATTCGAACTGTTAAGCTTAAAAAAGGATTTAATATGAAGCTATGACGTCATAATATGACAGTTTCAATATTTATTTGAACGCTTTTTAATTATTCATATTACAATGGTTAGGAACAAAGTATAACGCTACTAAGTTAACTGACCCGGTGGACATATGTCAAACTAAATTAGACAGCTCACTAGCGACCTCTATAAAACAGATGTAATAAGTTCTTTGTTTTAATATAGCTGTCTTGTTCTATCTTTTGTTATTTATGCCCATGTTGGTGTCACTTATTTTCTGATAGAACTCTGAGGGCAGCCTCTTACCGGTCCAGATGACCTTGACTTGGTTTTGTTTTTGGATTGGACTTTGCCATACAGACAGGCGTGAAGTGGAAGCAATTCCGCGTTTCGTCCGATAAGTGTGCGTCCCGGAGGCCTAATTTAGTCCTCTTTTCCTTCCCACCCTTTTTTTCTTATAAGGAAAGGATGGGAAGTGGAAGTGGACTTTTCGGATGAGAGGATGCATGGAAAGGGAAAATATTTTCTGTGTGTGTCTCTCCTCCGTCGATTGAAAGTGGGCGACGCGTATGCAATTGCGTATTACTATGGGCAGCGGTCGCTTCGCTGTTTCAGCGATTTTAGGTGGCCGCTCGCTCGTTTGACCACATTATGATATAAAAAAATGCTTGCATTTAAATCTTCGATAACATATGATTAATTATTTATATAATATCGTTAAAGTTGGCTGATATACTATCTACAATCTCATTTATACTTAAATAACTAATTTTCAATTTAATATTTTACAAGAAACTGTACATCACAATACTATGATTGTTTACTTTTTATTTCTCAGGAAATTCCACAAACACATTACTTCTCGTATCTTTAATCGTATTTAATAAACATTTATCTAACTCCTATTCTTCACTAACACCGAGTAACAATAATGTTTTGTCTCACGAAGGCACTAGAATTCTAGTGGAAGGGAAAGGGACATAGATAGGAAAATATTAAGACAATAAAGAATGGATATCAGAAGTCTATACATGAAGAAATTGATATGACACGAACTATTGACTACAGAGAATTTAAATTTGTCTTTTCTAACGAAGAATCACATATAGATTTTCGATTCTATACAAGCGTGTCCGCTCTGAGAGATTAAAAAGTCTTAAACATTATCAACTATACGAAATACATCGAATAGGACGTTTAATTTATATTCCGATAGCGACGCAAATCGTCTATTCCTCAACCACTATTCAAATCCATAAAACCTCATTGGAAATTGGAAACAAAATACAAATTTGATATTAATAGGCAGTATTATGTTAAAAATACCATAAAGGCTCATAACCTAGTAATTGTCAAAATTTAGCAATGTCATTGCACTATATCTTCATCCATTTGTTGAAGTCCAAACTTGTATACACAATCACAAGTCACACATAGCTCTCGACATGAGCGCTAGTGGTTGGGTCCTAGAAGGATGCCTCTACGAGGTAAGTCCCGTCCATTGCGACACCCGTTTGGTTACCTTGCACTGTGCTGCCTGCCGGAATGTATTTGCCACATGCTTGCTGTAAAATCATAAAAGAAATACTTTAATACTGTAGTTAATTTTAGATTTTTATCTTTAATTCTTTTTGTAACTTGATAAGCATTAGTAACTAAATCTGTAACTGCTCTTAGTATTTTGTTGGTCACATTATTGTCAATATCTCTTTTTATTTCTGTGATTATTTTTCATTAATCGTTAAGTATCGATCTTTATTATTCCGCAAAGGATTGCCAAAACAAAGTATTTGATAAATATTTTGTAATCTGACAACTTTTGAATTATTTAAATAATTACTTTTAAAAGTAAAAATTATTATTATTTCTATCTACACAAATAAATTCGCTTCTTGGAGACGCACAAGCATTAACATTAAAGCAAATTCCAGAAAACTGGAAATTAAAAAAGAAAACATTGACGTGATTTAGGAGAGTGAAATAGAAAAAAGGATTAAGAATGAAGTGTCGACATGTAAAAGTGGGGGACAAGTAGCAAGAGTGTGTAAAATGTGCTCAAAGCATGCCAATTAAAAAGAAAAAATATTGTTTTTATTTGTATATGTAGACCCATTAGTGTGTGAAGTTTAACTACGACCGAAATTGTTTATATGTAATTTTGATTATCAAATACTGTTAGTGTTGAAATTGACTCGTATGTGAATGACTGATAAAATGTTAGTACAGTTAACCGTTATAAATGTAAACAAAGTCTTGGATTCAAACAGCCTATGTCTGCCAATTATGTGTGCAGTGTGTTGGCATGACTTTGAGATTGTTTAGTTTCACATATGTATACGCTAATATATATCTAAAATCATTTAAAATATACAACACTGTTGGATCTACTAATTATTGAATCACATCACTAGCATTTATGTATTTACTTATATAATGAAAATATCTATTTAAATTTAGAATAACATTTATGTGCTAATGATGTGATTCAGTCACAATATTTATTACATAAATACTTATACATAACATTTAATATACACTTGACGGATACAAGAATACACTTGACTTACAGCGATACGACAGCAGAAGCTTAAGAATACATTAAGACATTGAAAGTTTTACAATAATCTTTAATTATGAAGCAAAATCTTTTAGCAGCCAACACCCTGCAGACATTTAAAGCCTCAAATACATCTCTTTTACCACAAATATTTACCACGCAGCGAATACTATCGAATTATACAAGTTAAAACAAATTTTGGATTATACAATGTGTAAACAGAATGCAAAAACTTCTTAAATCATTTTTTTCTAGTTGTCATGTCATATATTGATTCATTTCGGTCTCTTCCGAACGAGAATAAATGATCAAGCATATGACACTGGCCGAATCTGTAGAGATAAATAAATAAATAATTTAATTTAATTGAATATTATCTTGATTTGTAGTCTGTGTACACGTTGTATAATGCCAAATATACGTTTGGTAATATTTTTGAAATTTTAAAAAACATTTTTTTAAATTGTCGTCAAGGTTCGCTGCATGGTAAAATCATGTGGACGTACTGGTAAAGGGTCTTCACTGGGCGCGGCCGACATTGACGTGTCAGAGGGGCGAGAGGTTGCAGTGTACCGACGGTTGCCTCGTGCGCGCCCTTTCCTACCAGGATCTAATAGCAGGACCTGTTAGAGCCAATTGGATACCGAATATTCGTTAAATGCACAAACGTTTGCTCAAACATTGGTTACGATTGGCTGTATTTGTAAATTAACTATTAGATAAAAATATTAAGTAAGTCAGTGTATTGTGTAGTGTAAAAGAATTGGCGGATGTTGGAAAATGTTAATATGATTGACCCAAATTATAATCATGAAATTCATGAATTTGAAATTCGAATGGAAAAAATGTTTTCCAATTTATAATATCTAAATGTATAAATAATATATATCATGGCTTCTACGTTATTATTAAATATATTCATCATTACCTGTTGATAGCACAATATGGTAGGACACTAAACAGATTTGACATCATTTATGTAACAGTAGGATAAATGGATATAAACTTAGGATCATCATATTGTATACTTACCTTATTACCTTCAATAAATGCTTTGTGAAATAATGTTTTATATAAACACGTAAATAAGACTTTGGACAATACATTTCATGTTAATAGGAATTACTTCGGCTTCCGAGTCCAGGGTGACAATACATATCGTAAAGGGCCAATAGCAATAGCAAATCATTTGGTGCTCAATTCCAACCTATTTGTGTAAAAATACTATGTGAATTAGCACCTTATATAGATAACAAAATGTGCTTACATAAGGCGAAAGCTGTTCCCACTGAAGTATTTCCGCCTTAAGCACGAAAGGGACAAATAGCGGACTCTAGCAAGACGTCGTAACCACACTGGCGAAGCGACAACAGGGAATACGTATGCTCATGGAGATCAATTTCTATGGCCTATCAAAAAAAACCTGATACAAATCAAATTTAATGTCTGTCAGATGTCAGAGATTGTATTGAAAGTGTTTGGCCATAGAAACAATCTTATACGAAATTGGTTTGACATCAAGTCAGTGCGGAATGGTCTGTACCTCACGACGCGGCCGCGCGGCCAGCCCGATCGGACTGATGCACCTTACGGAACGACGGCGCTTCTGTTGTGAAAACATTGCTTTATACAAAGTGTACTGAGTAATTAAAACAATTGAAGTTGGCTAACAATAAAACAGAGATATCTCACAATGAACAAGTTATTTTCCTATTTAAGGTAGTAATAAAGTATCGCCAGTTATGTCACTACACATTTGAAATAAACTAGATGCATGATGATTGCCGCAACATATTAAACAGAAGAAAACAGTTCTTTCGTATTTAAAGTTTGTTAGAAACATGTTGGAATGTTTTTGCTCAACATGGTTCCAACAAATATTAGTTTGTTCTTCGATGCTTCAACATACCTCGATTTTATTATCGTCTTTATTTTTAACGTTTACGACGTTGCTGTTTTCTGAAATGTATTGTGTATTAGTTTGACAATAGAAACAAAAAAAAACATGTTATTATACATCGTATTTGCTAGTGAATTTCTACAAATAATATTAGTGAAAACCAATTGAATTATTAGTAATATTGTAACACTACGTATTGCAATGAATTTTGAAAGATTTTAATTTTATGCAAAATGCCGTTTGGGTTGAGAAATGCACCACCCATGTTTCATTATTTTATTAAGCTGTTATTCTACACATAAAGCTCGGTGTGTAAAGTTACCTGGTACTTCTGAGGACAACAGCCGCAGCGCGCGCAGCAGGCGAGCAGTGCTGGGGCGCGGCCCGAATGCGCGGGCGACGCTAGGGGGGAAGGTGAGCCGGGGCGCTTTGCAGCACCATTGTACGGATTCTCCATTTCGACAAATTCACGATCCTAAACATTTAAAATCATAAATGTATTTGGTACTAGTATAATATAAAAGTTTATTTGATAATTCAATTAGATTTAATTGAAATTTTGTGAGTAGAAGAGACATAACTTATTCGATTCGCTATGAGCTGAAAGTAAAAGAGTATACGAACAGTAGTACGCTCCAAGCATCGCAGCAGATGATGATGCTGCAATTCGAAAATGTCTTCATCCCGTCCAGCGTCGTCAAGTTCGACGCCAGACTCTTGAGCGGCAAGGCGTGCCTCAGCAGCCTTCTTCTTGGACACAAACGCCGCGCCTGACGAAGCCTTGGCAATCCTGATGCGGGCCAGGCGCGCTTTCTGTAATACGTTATAGTCCAAAGTTAATACTATATAAAGAAGATGGATCTTTAGTGCCATGTCAGAATAATAAACCTTCTATATGTGGTACGACTCGTATTACGTACGAAGAATGAAATGCTCTAAAGGATCAATAGTTTATCAAATTAATTTTAATGACTATGGGTTCGTACATCAGTATATTATCAACATTTGATTTGCTTGTTCCTCTATCTAATCTCTTTCTAATATTATGCTATGTAAAGACTTTAAAAATTTTGAGATAAGGTTGTTTATCATACCCTCTGCGCCTTTCTCTTGTCAGCACGTTGATTCTGATGGTAGATCCGGGAGAAGTTGGACACGATGACTGGCACGGGCAGAGCGATGACGAGTACTCCGGACAACGAGCACACACCACCCACTATCTTACCGGCGATTGTTCCCGGTACCATGTCACCGTATCTGGAATCATAAATGTATTCTATGACAATGGGTTAAGACCTTACTTCATTGGGTCATTTCTTTAGTATGTTCATGAGACAATGGGCGCTTTAAATTAATTAAGATGATAATTTTCACGCGTTTCAACTGACATGTGATAAAACATGGTGTAGAAATGTAGAGTCAATAAAAATTTTCGTTATAATTTCTTCCCTATTGATTTTGGATATTGGAAAACGCTCCAGAGAAGATTTAATGAAATTCATGATTAACTATAATTTATATTTCGTGCTTTATCTTTTAAAGTAGTTAATGATGCAATCTAAACTAATGTGACCATTAAAATAATTGGTTAGATACAAAAAGCTGTGTTGACACACTCGTCGTTTTAAAGTAGGTTTCTAGGTCACATAGGTAGGTACTGAAAGAAAGGCGGAAACTGAAAACTACGCCACTTTTCTCAAGATATAAAAGGTATAAATGCTTAATGCTTCATGCTAACTTCCCTCGTTATGTTTTTGTGTTTTTATTTTATGAAAAAATTATATTTTTAAGATAACTAACGACAAAATGTAATGTTTCCTTCAGTTTACTTTGTTCTTTATTACATTAATGACTTCCTTTATATTACTCAATATTTTTTTTTTGTTTACTTGCTTATCGAGAAATTATCTGAAGCATAAAATAAGTCTGCACTAACCGACGGTTTCCAAGACAAAAATCCCCATTTAAAACATCATGTTATCTCGGATTTGTCAAAGATAATGACAGATATGACGATATGTTTCATACAGAAATTTTGGTCTCGGAAATCAACGGTGAGAGCGCATAATATTTAAGTTATAGATTTTAAAAAAGTGCTATGCGTCTTAATACTGATGTATAGTTAATTCTAGATAAAACATTCTTGAATAATAAATAGATCATAAACTCTGTTACTTAACCTCTCAAATGTAATCACAATCACATAACATTTCATAACGTACGTCAGTAAAACAATGTCTATATTAAATGTTTAAACAAATACAGACAAGTAAACCACTAGAGAAATCTGTTTGGTTTGGCACAAACGACCACCACTGGAAACTATCTCTATTATTATGCTACACAATGTTTCAATGCACTTACATGTAGAGCATCCGTGGCTCAGGGGTTAAGCGCTTGACTTGTAATCTGCAGGTCCTGGGTTCGAATCCCGCCATGTACCAATATGTTTTTCGATTTCTGATTTACATATGTACATTTATCCGACGTTCTTACGGTGAAGGAAAACATCTTGATGCAACCTACACATATCTGAGAAGAAATACAAAGATATGTGTGAAATCAACCAACCCGCACTTGGCCAGCGTGGTTGACTATGGCCTAATCACCCTTAACTTAGGGTAGGCTCCGAGCCCCTCGGTATGGACGTATAGTGTGCTGATGATGATGATGATGAATTCTTAATTACTGTTTTTTTTAATGAAGTATATAAAAACTCATTATTGAAGTCCCTTAATTACTTAAAAAAGCATAAGTCTTTTTGAATGTCGAATGCAACATTTAATACTTTCTCAGTTCCACGTTCTTATTGATTTATTCAACAATTGGCAACCAACTGGCTGTTTGTGAGCCGTTAAATATTCTACCGTCGTTTAAAAAGGACAAGTGCCAGGAATCTTTAGCGTCTTATTTATTATTCCACGTGTAATCGTTTATCGTTAGAAATGAGTTTGGTGGCTACTAGCTTTTGTTTACTATTTGGTCCGAGCAGAATTAAAAAAACTAGTTATGAATATTGTCTATCTTACTCAGTCATTTTAGACATTTATTAATTAGAATCCTTTGTCGAGGATCACGTGCTTTCGTTACAAAGTCCGGTGTCAGAATGACTAGTGAGGGGACATAAACGTCGACATTTTAGTAAGTCTAGTGTTGGACACTGTCACATTTTCGGATTTTATTCCTAACTGTAATAATATATAATAGCTTTTTAAAGGCATAGGATTTTTTGTAATCGGTCCAGTAGTTTTTGAGTTTATACAACTAAATACAATTTTTTTATAGTAGTATAGATGTTAATAAGGAAAGTCAGAGTCAAAACAAAGGGAAAGAACAAAGGAGCTTTAGTGTGGGTTTCCACTTCCGAATAACATTTGTGAAAACATATTGCCATCACTTTCACTCTTTAGGAAAAAATGAAATAACAATATGGTTTCTAAGATGTTGTACAGTTGAAACTCACAATTTTAATGGAGCTTCTTAAATATTACTGTGTTATTATTATTATATATTAAGAATGGAATTGAATTCGTTTGCAAAGAAACAAAGACCACTACACTATGACGTATTTCACAATTGCATAACTTTATCTTATCGAAATTTCAGACATATAAATAAATCAAAGTAAGAAAAACAAGAGTATAAATTGTGTGAATACATTTTCATACATAAAGAAACTCGTAAACTTTGATGATTATGAAAATCTTCAAACGGGTCTTTTTCAACACTTTACAAACGTCATGACCCAATTTTTATCACTTGTTAGTTAATTAATGATACGTTGAAGGTTCAATGGATTACTTGTGATGTTACGTGTGATGATCGAACCCCCGACCTCGTGATCGGAAATCCGTACTCTTGACCATTAGGCTAGTGACGATTAATTAGAAATAAAATTTATCGATTTCTGTATATTAAACAAAAAAAAACAACCAAATCGCCCTATTTTGAAACTCACGGTTAGTTCGCACTAAACGATGTTAAATCGTAAATTGTATTTAGTCTGTAAACTGTTTACTCAATTATTTGAACCATCTTACCTTATTATAAATAAAACTCTTAACAAAGGAACATCAAAAGATAACACGTGATGTTTACAGATGATAATAACTTCCCTTTTCTTTGTTCTAAACGCTTTTTTCATTGAAGTAGGCTATCAATTTTTATGTAAGTAACCGAAGTTTTAACAACAATAAAAAGCTTGTAGCAAAAGTGGTAGAGTCCGCTTTAACATCTTCGCACGAAGTAGCCCGGTTCGCCCGATGAAATACCGCTACCACACAGAAGACAGGCGTGAAGTGGAAGCAATTCCGCGTACCGTCTGATGAGTGTGCGTCCCGGAGGCCTAATTTAGTCCTCTTTCCCTTCCCACCCTTTTTCTTATAAGGAAAGGATGGGAAGTGGAAGTGGACTTTCCGAATGAGAGGATGCATGGAAAGGGAAAATATTTTCTTTCCGTGCATCGTCTCCTCCGTCGATTAAAGGTAGGCAACGTATACGCAATTGCGTATGTCTATGGGCAACGGTCACTTCACTCTTTCCGCTATTTCAGGTGGCCGCTCGCTCGTTTGTAACCTTATGATATAAAAAAAAAACTATTTTTCAACTTTAATGGCGTTTGCAAACGTTAAATATACTTAGTATTAGATCGTCATGGCCATTAAGAAAAATTTTTTTTTTTTAATAAAGTCTAATTAGAAACTTGCAAATTTCATAAACGTCTCTGTGTTCTAAATTCAAAATGACAGCGAGATCCCGTTCTCGAGATATCTTTTATAATCTGTACATCCAATTTTTGCACTTAAAATATATGCAATATACGAATAAGTACAAGTTAAGTTATTACTTCATTTATTTAATAACATAAAACAATTTTAAATACGAAGTTGTAGTATATTTATTTAAAAAAAAACGTAGATGTTCATCTTCTCGGAATGACATTTTAATTTCCGTATTCCCGTGTATTTTTTATTTCAAATTGAATCTTTTGAAGCGGTAAATACGCAAGGCAAAGAGCAATCGTCGTCTGAATTTTTCATAAGCAATCCATCAATGTATCATCGATTTAATGAAAGAAGCCAGCAAGTGTAGAAAGGTGAAGCTCATTAAGATTTCAAAGACTTGAGTTTACCTTCTAGCAGGACTAAAAAAAAATCTTGATAAGTAACCTATGTGTTCTTCTAGACTGTGTTCTACATCTATGCCTTTCCTTACCTAAGATACCTTCAAACAAACATCCATCCATACAAATATTCGCATTTATAATATTAGTAAGAAGTCATAATTGAAGTAGAATAAATAATGATAAAAATTAAAAAAAAAATTCCGAGAAAATATTTTCATCTGTATGTTCTAGTATTACTTTTCCAAGGCCATACCGTTTGCTGAAAACAAAGGAAATTAAACTTTACTTAAACGGAATAAAGTTCGAATTTCCGCATTGCGTTTATCCGCAGTCAGCTGGTAGGGCAATTGTTTACTAGAGAAACGTTTATTTCTTTTGGGCTTGCTTCCTGTTTTTGTTTGAGGAATTTTAATATGCAGCACTGCACTCTATATAAAATGTAGAGTTTTTTAGCTTCAGTTTTATTAGACTAAGGAAACTGACTGCAGTTAAATATCAAATCTTTGGATATTGTTTCTTCAAATCACAAAATATTACTAAAGAAAATTACTCTATTTTGTTACATGTTAAATATATAAAAAATTATAAACAATAATTATTTATCTCTTTCACACTTATATGTTAAGTGTGAGAAGCAAAGACGTGTGAAAACTAAAATGGCGTCACATCTGCATAGATAATGTATTCCGCGACACGAGCGCCCTCTAATCTACATCACAATCAAGTTCCCGTAGATCAAATCAAAAAGCTAACGAGCATACATCAACTTTAAACAACTTTGGTTTTAACAACTGTGTTCTTATAATTAACTAGATGTTGCCCGCGAATCCGTCGAAAGAAAAACAATATGTTAAAAATTATTGTAAAGACAATAATTGTTTGACGATCGTATCATACTAATATTGTAAATGCGAATGTTTAGACGGATGGACGGATGTTAGTTTGAAGGTAACTAGGAAGGTAAAGATGAAATTTGGTATATAAGTAGAACATATTCTGGAAGAACGCATATGCTACTCATTTTGTTTTTTTTATTTCGCGCGGACGGAGCCGATGGCGACACCTAGTTTAATTATAATTAAAGACTGGTCTCGCTTCTCGAAGAATCTTGTCAGTACAGCTAAAATTATAT